AATAAAAATATTTTAAAAAGGGAAGGGGCCAAGAGAAGGAGAAAAAGGGGAGGGGAGGGAAAAGGAAGAGAGAAAAAAGGGAAGGAAAAAGAATCAGGATATGTTATGTGCATGTACCAACTCCCTTCAATGAATATGATCATTGTATACTGTGAACATGTACTAGTAAAAATTTTAAAAATGCTGCTATGACATGGATAAACCTTAAAAATTTTAAGCTAAATTGAATCTTATGATATAGAAATTATACCCAAATAAAACTGTCTATAGAATTAAATAGTAAAGAATTTAGTGAGATTATAAAACTAGAAAACAAGAGAAATTCTATAAAGTGAGTGGTAACCATTCTTGAAAACTCATGGTACACGAGGGATTTCCTAAGCTGGGTTTTGTGGCGGGCTGGAGTCTGGGTAGGTGCAGTACAACATGGAAGGCAGGAAAATGTCCAGAATAAAGGCAGAAGAGTTCAGCGTGGAAGTCCGAGGCAGGCTGGGGATAAACCTCGACCACTTTGGACAGATGGGTCAGGTCAAGACTGCTCAGGAGCTGAGTGGAAGTCCATGGTTAGACTTTGGAGACCTTGAAGTTTTAGACAGGAGATTTGTAATCGGTCTGTCGGGCAATGAGAAGCCACTGAAGAAGGGAGTAACGTGATGAAAGAGGCGTTGGAGACGGTGTGTCTGGCAGCGCAGTCCACAAGGGCCAGGAGCATCAGTGAGGAGCCGCCGCATGGCCCGGGCTGGAGATGGTGGAGGCCTGAACTGGGGTCATGCGATGTGCCACGCTAACTTGAAAGATGACAGTTAAGGGCAACAAGAAATTATCTCGTTTTCTGAAGTTTATATGCTGGCATACGGAAATGACACAAATCGGTATGATGGGCTTGGATGTGTGCCATCCTAAAAGACATTTAAGAGGCAAGAGGTGGGTGAGAATCAAACCTGTTGGCTTTGAAACCTAATGATTCTGGATGCCCGCTTCTGCCCTTGACTTTCTTTACTGTAACTGACAGCACCAAATCCAAGACCAGGTGGAATGGGGGTATGGAGCCTGAACATTTTAAAAGCATGATCATTTTAATGGTGCCAACTAGGAAAAGAAAAAAAGAGCCAGTGGGTCAAAAGATTGTGTTATGATTTTGGCCAAATCTAGTACTTTAGTACTAGCTTCAATTTCCACGTCTCCGAAACAAGGAAGCTAAGTTTTCAGACTACATCTCATAATTGTTTTGAGGAAGTAGCTCCAGGCTATTTCTCAGGAGACAGGGAGACCTAACTACTGCAGATCTGAAGCACCCACCACTCATCAACCAAAATAGCTCTCATTTTGCCTCTTTTAGATTTTTGACTCCATAGTAACCTTTCAACTGACAAGAGCTCTGAGGCATTAATTTTAAAAGAAAGCAATTAGACGATAGGATCTTTTAAGTTCCTTCTACCTCTAAATTTAACTACTGTGAATTTAATTTTGTTTATCCTATTGGGGGGAAACTCCTATTAAAACATGATTCAATATATTTAATATTTAACTCAGGAGATTGAAGGGTTTCTTTTAAAGAAGAGAAAGATGGTCTTTTGAGAGGTCTTACTTTTGAAACAGAATCTGTAAGTAATCTTATTTGAAATGTCTAAAACTCTGGCTTAATTTTGTCTCTGAGGGATTCTGTGCAGTAACCGTGAGATGGGACCGCAGAGTTGAGGATGAAAGCACGGACAGATCATCCAGGTTCCCCCTTCCCAAAAGGAGTCTTGTTGGGGGTGTGGAGAGCATGGGTCGTTTCAGCCAGGGGCCCAAGGGAGCATCCCGTGGGTGGCAGGACAAATGTAGGGTCTCGTTCAGCACCCCAGGAGCACTTCTCCATGGCACCAGATTGAGTTCAGCCTTAGGGATCTGGTGGTTACTTCCCACCATTCCCAGCCCCTCCCCAGTGTTTGGAATTCCCACTCCTCAACCACCCGGAGAGTTAGGAACTTATTTAGAGTCTCTGGATAAGGGCTAACTACATAGTTCCCCAAAGGTACCAGAACTTTCTTGTCCTGGGAATATCAGCGAAGCCTGTGGGAGACCTAGGTTGTGGCTCTGAGTCCAGCCAGTCAAAGTGCCACTCTCCTTCTGACAGTGATCCCAGAGAGCCGAACATCATTACCATATTAACAGTTAAGTTTTACCAGCCACAAAGCACTTAATATACATCATTTAACTTAAAGCCTCTTGTGCACATGATGGACATTATATCCTACGTCTTCATTTTACAGAGAAGCAAGCCAAGCCCTAAAAAGGTTAAATAATTAGCTCAAGGACAGATAGCTCATAAGTGTCAGGGTCAGAATTTGAAGTTAGGTTTGTCTGTCTTTGAGTCTGAATTCTTAACCATACACGAATCTCCTTTATTTTTTTTTTTTTTTTGGTTTTTCTCCGGTACCGGGAACCGAACTCACGACTTTGCGTGTGCCAGGCAGGCGCTTTTGCCGCTGAGCTAAATCCCCAGCCCCACGAATCTCCTTTAAAGGCCTACTGTACTGAAGGGGACCTCAGTTCAACAGTCTCTTTCCCTTGGTCAAACTATAAGGGTTCCTCTTTCAAATCCACAGACAGAAAATAATTTTTCCTGAATTTTCTGTATCTCATCTCTTCCAAAGTCCACAAACTCTGGGAAGATGGGGAGATAATTACAATAATTATCCCTCCCTCAGCCCCATCATCTGTAGAGTATCAGCTGACAGGCCTGGAAGAGCAGCACTTTTTACTCCACAGGGATGACAACTACCCAGCACCACTTGGTAAGTACATCCTGAGCCTTTCCTTAACTGCTATTTTTCTTATGATTTCTTCCAGGTATTATATCATATTCCAAATACAATTACCACGGAAAAATCACTAACATCCCCATGCACACAGACACTTGAATGTACACAGGTTCATTCTCCGCTCTTTTCAAACCTTTGTCCTGGTGAAATCAAATTGTTTCTAAAATATAACAATGCAGTCATTCTCCCTTCTGTTGTGAGGCATCTTGAGTGAGGCACCACCAGAGGTAATTCTCCTGCCAAATTATAAAGTCCGTGGTAGCACAGGTTCCCTCGCAATGGCAATGCCCATAGCAGGCCCCTGGATGTCCTCCAAACAGACTGGCCATGTATGGGGCAAGAATGCTGGGGACCCATTCAGTGAAGCAGCTTTAAGAGGGAATCATGTTGAGGAAGCTGGCATCTTGATTATCATGGTGGCTTTTCCTTCTGGAAACCAGCATCTCTGTGATGTATTTCAACTAGCAGCACCCTATGCTGTGAGATGTATATTATACAAGAGAGGCCGTGGGGTCAGGAAGGCCAATTCAAATGTTTGCACGCAAGAAAAAGGAAGCCTTTGATTTTGGTATTGATACAGGTTTTAAAATTCAGGCCTAGTGATCATATACTTGGCTCACTTTGCTACAGAGGTAATAATTTGGGGGCTTCGCTATGGAAGACACACAGGCCTATGGCGCTCAGGGAATCAAAAACATCTCCAAAGAATCATAGCAGCTGAAAATAAGTGAGCTGAAGCTGGCTGTAAATTTGTGCTAGTA